CCGGTGAGATTTGAACAGCCGAACTGCAGAACTGCAGTCAGCTGAAGTAGCCTGCAGTGCTGCATTTAACCACTGCGCCACCTCGGCTCTTTATGTCCCATGGGAGGGGCCAATCATCTCCAAGCCTTATTCCTGAGTTGCCCTTTTGTCATAATTGTTCTTGCCTTCTGGCAGCTCTGTGCATGCACGCACTGGGAACAAGTTCCCCCTGTTCCTCTGCCTTGCTGATGTCAGATTCAGGAGGCTCCAGAGACCCGCTCTCAGCCTCCAGAGCCCTTGTCAAAGTCTTCCCCAGACTCCAGAACTGGCCCATGTTCCTCCCCAACCTCCTCACTGTCCAACTCCATTGTGAGTTCCACAGCCTGCCGGCGGGCCACAACAAAGACGTTTTGCTTCTCATCCAAGATGCTTCTTCAGTTCTAAAAGCCCAGTTGCCTTTGGGACGAGAATATCCACAGATTTACCTGAACTAAAGAATTCCAAATACAATCACTATCTTGAGTCTGACTTTAATCTCTGAATCTTTGGCTGTTTTTTAGTTTTCTGTTTTACCCCTATCCTCTACTTTTTGTAAAAGCAACCATCCACGTCCATATTACTTTGGCTCTTGTAAAAGAAGCACCCTTATATTTTCTTATGGTTCAACTCAGCTTTCAGTGTTATTGTTTTAATCTTAATAGATATCTATTCCAGCTTGATGGCTATTTGCTTTTTAAAGCTAGTTGATTAAGAGTTTAAAAAGTGACTCTTTTTAACAGGCATTTGGTAGGAACAGAATGGATAGGATTTGTGTTATCATTTCTTGTGATCTTTGCATTTGTAATAACTATAGGTTGTATAAAGATGTAACTACAGGAACATTGCAAAACACCTGAAATTCTGCTCAGTTAGCTTTACAATGTCACGCTTTATCTTTGAAGCTTGGAATTGGATGTAGTTTCTTATGAAAACTACACTCTTGGGAAATAAAAGTACATATCATGTTCACATTGTGAGAAAGAATGACTGACTAAAAATATGTAAGTAACAATGTTTGAACATACTGCAAATTTGTCATTTCTGTATTCTTTCAGGCAAATATTCCATGTTCTGGATCTCATGACAATGGATATGGTTAATTTTACCATACAGTGTCTTAGACCTCACGTTCAGCGCAACTTGATAGATTACGAAAGAGCAAAATTCCAAGATATACTAGAAGAAACTCCAAGTATGTTCTTTGTTTACATAAAAAGGGAATAGACAATGAAGTGGCAACAAAGTCAGTTGTATGAGATCTGAAGCAGTTGAGCAAAAGGCTGCAACAGATTTGGGGAAGGGAGAGAAATATTCTAAAAAAATTTGAGGATTACTGTCGGTAAAACAATCTTGAGTTGCAAAAATGCTCTGGCTTACATGTTTTACTGTCTGGATGTATTTTTACACTCTATGCTTATGCCTGACTAGAATGTTACTTTGTCATGTTGTAAGCTTAGTCGGTTTTTAAAAACTTTCTTTAATTTTCAATTATTCACCTGTTTAATTTTCTTTTGGTGATCAGGTCCTGGAGTTATTCCCCCTCCCCCAGCTTATTTACTGAACTAGGTGCATGCCTTTGTAAAACAAACATTGCAAGTCTGAACTTTCTTATCTTTGTCTCCAAATGTTCAGGTGCCCTAGACCTGACAACCAAATGGATAAGGGAATCAATACAAGATGAACTATCTTCTGTTTCTTGTGAAATGCCATCAACTCCTGGTGCTAATGGGATCTCAAAACCAAATCTTAGCCCAATTACGGTCTTAACAAACAGCTACCTGAAACTGTTAGAGTGGGATTATCAGAAAAAAACAATTCCAGAGGTAAGTTGCTTTCTCTCTCAGAACTGCTACAAAATTTATTCTTTTTCTGTAAAATACAGTGGATAGCAATTTACACAAATCATGGTTTACTTAAGCATGATTTATGGAGTAAAGTACAACATACTAATCCAAAAACAAGTCATGTTATAGGTTAGCATGTTGCCTGTTTCTAGACCAGTAGATTTTTCATAGTTATTATCATCCACAATGTCATAGATAGATACTTTTTTCAAGCTTGGATAAATATTTTATAATGTGAACCAATGGCTTGACAGCCCTGCATTTCATTACATTATAATGTTATGCCTTGTATTTGGTATGATTAGTTATTCATTGAGGCCCTGACTGTGTGGTAACCTACTTGCTTCGTCCTACAGAAATTAATGGAAACACCTAACTGCAGAATATGCTGTCTTCAGATGCAATGGCAATAATTCTTTTAATAATTTTAAGAGACAGGAGAAAGTCATGACAGTTAAGCTTATAACACCTAGTCTTAAATGTTGTTTAGTACCTTCAGGTGCTTAAAATTTTACTGCCTTAAGTAGCAGTTATTCGGGAACAACAGCAGAAGAAGAGTAGATCCTCCTATTTACATTTAAGAGCTTCTAAATGAATCCAATTGGTTAATGTGTGATATAGAAAGCTGGGATCAGCCTTGGACTTTAACCAATACCTATGTAAGCTCCATTTTCTCTTTAAACTAATTTACATTTAAATGTTTATAAAATAATATTAATAAAGAAACAGAGTATGGACATTTTGCATTTGTGTTACCAGCAGTATTGAATATAATGAAAAAATAGAATAGAATAGAATAGAATAGAATAGAATNCTGAACCAAAATCTTCTTGTTGTTAGCTTTAGGGCCACTTAGTTCCTCCAAACAACACTTTTGTGAGATAATCTAGATGTAGAACAGCATGTACTTGTTTTGCATCTAGGTATGGCATTCATATCCTTTGAATTACGAAGTGTATAGAGTCACTTCAAGTGGCAAGAAGGACAGAACTCATAATTGCTCTTGAAGAGGGACGTTTGGCATGTGAAACATAAAGCCACAGTTGCTGAAATTCCTCCTAAGTTATATTATCGATTGGTTCTCTCTATTGTGTGTCTTTGACCACATGAAACACACATTTCTATTATGGGTCATTAATTGCCATTTAGTTGACTTGTGGTTTTCATCTTGCAGATCCTTCTTTCTTTTTTGAACCCGGGGGCTAACAGGATGCGCAACCAAATTTGTGAAGTCCTCGATGCGGACCTTATAAGGCAGCAGGCTGAGCACAATGCAGTTGATATCCAGGGTCTTGCAAACTATGTCATTAGCACCATGGGAAAGCTGTGTGCTCCAGTAAGGGACAATGATATCAACCAGTTAAAGCCCACTGGGAATATTGTAGCATTGTTGAGGTTGGTATGTGATTTGCTTTTTAACATTAGGTGGTGGTTAAAAGAATCAATCCTCCCCAAAATTTCAGGTGTCTTTTATACCATTTAGAATTCCCAGGTAACATGGCTGTGGAATTCTTCCATTTGACTTTTACTGTTGATAGTCAGACATCAATAATACCTACCATTGACTAAAGCATTGCTAGCTGAGGAATTATGGGAGTTGAAGCCCACCCAATCCAAAGTTGTTGAGGTTGCGAAATCCTGGACTAAAATGTCCCAAAGGTGCTTTTTCAAGAGGCAACTGGACCAGATAAATGTCTGTGGAGATTCTCAGTCATCCAGGTCATGGTTGTCCCAAAGGTGCTTTTTCAAGAGGCAACTGGACTTTCTTATTTTTCTTTGAAGACTGTTCTGACCTAGGCTTCCNGGCATTTTTCTTTGGTGCATAAGCTCCCAGTATACATAAAAGGACATGAAAAAATACATTAGTCAAGAATCATAAGGTACAACACTTAATAATAGTCATAGGGTACAAATAAGCAATCAGGAAATAATCAATATCAATGTAAATCGTAAGGATACAAGCAACAAGTTACAGTCATGCAGTCATAAGTGGGAGGAGATGGGTGATAGGAACAATGAGAGGACTAATAGTAATAGTAATACAGTCTTAGAGAATATTTGACAGTGGTAAGAGAATAATTTGTTTAGCAGAGTGATGGCATTCAGGAAAAACTGTTCTTGTGTCTAGTTGTCTCGGTGTGCAGTGCTCTATAGTATCGTTTTCAGGGTAGGAGTAAAAACAATTTATGTCCAGGATGCGAGGGGTCTGAAAATATTTTCACAGCCCTCTTTTTGACTCATGTAGTGTACAGGTCCTCAATGGAAAGTAAGTTGGCAGTAAATCGTTTTTTCTGCAGTTCTGATTATCCTCTGAAATCTGTGTCTGTCTTGTTATAACCAGACAGTTATAGAGGTGCAGATGACAGACTCAATAATCCCTCTGTAAAACTGTATAGTAATGCAGTCTTAGTGAATATTTGACAGTGGGCAGTTTGAGCTTCCTGAGTTGGCGCAGAAAGAACATTCTTTGTTGTGCTTTTTTGATGACGTTTTTGATGTTAGGTGTCCATTATAGGTCTTGAGATATGATACCTAGAAATTTGAAGGTTTCTACTGTGGTGGTAGTTACATTTTTCAGGAGACTTCTTTTATCTTGGACCTGATGAAAAAGTTGACATCCTCACAAAGATGTACTTTGTTAAATATGGTCAGAGGTTTGATGATTGTTCATAAATGTTACTCTTCCAATTGTTTCAGACACTAATAACAGATGAAGCTCGCCTCCAAGAATTATCCAAGAAATTGAATCAGTTGAAGATTGTAGCGTGTATTTCTCTCATAACAAGCAACATGCTGCCTGCAGTTATTGAGGATATTCCAGACTTCGTTGAGAAACAAAAAAGGATTTCTTTTGTTTTGCTTGAAGGAATGCATAAGGAGTACGTAAACACATGAACGACTGAATACTTGAGAGACCGCCTACTGCCAATTACCTCCACCCGACCAATTAGATCCCACAGATTAGGCCTCCTCCGAGTCCCATCTGCCGGTCAATGTCGNAAAATATTGATAGGTTTTCATGTCAAGTCAACGTGTCATGTGTTTTATTTCTTGGTTCCAGCAACAAGCCCTCCCAAAATGGTTACATTTGATGAGATGATGGCAGCTGCAAGGAATATGTCAAACCTGTCTCTGGCTCACGAAATTGCTGTAAATGAGAATTTTCATTTGGAACGCATAGAGCAGCCTCAGAACAGGTAGGCTCAGGTTTTTAAAAGAATGGGGAGAAGGAGAGCCAGTGTTTAAACAGATCAACAAGCAATCACAAATGGTTTGCATAGTTTCAGGGGTCATTTCAAATGTTCATCTTTTGGTACAGAATGTGTACTCAACAAGCTAAGTAAGTTTTTTTTTTAGGTTAAGCTTGTGAGTCAAACTGAGACTTAAAGATTGCTACTTAAAAAAGAACTTGAATGTGCAGTATTCCTGTAAATACTGGCTAAAGTTACATATCACACAAATCATGGCCTCTGTAACAACTGCAACGGCCCATTTTACAAATAATTGAGCCCTGATCCATAAACTGCTATGGCTAGGATCTTTCTATTAATAAAACGATAGGTCCTTTCCTCTAAGCTGGAACTTAATTTGACTTTTTTTGTTTTAGCACTTTGCTTTCTTTGAATGCTTTGAATGCTTACACTCTCCTGTCTTGCTCTTCTCATACCTGACAGCTTTCCTGGAAGGATTAAACAAATTGTACATAAAGCATTCTGGGATCGCCTGGAAGAAGATTTGAAGGAGGACCCTCCTGAGTATGAGCATGCAATCAAATTGTTTGAGGAAATTAAAGAGGTGGGGTTTTGGTCCTGCTCTCTCAAGCTAAGTTTGTTTTTAAGCAGACATGGAACAGGTTCTGTACATTAAAGGTAAAGGTTCCCCTCGCACAAATATGCTAGTTGTTCCCAACTCTAGGGGGCGGTGCTCATCTCAATTTCAAACCAGAAGAACCAGCGCTGTCCAAAGACGTCTCTGTGGTCATGTGGCCAGCATGACTAAATGCCGAAGGCGCACGGAACGCTGCTATCTTCCCACCAAAGGTGGCTCCTATTTTTCTACTTGCATTTTAATGTGCTTTTGAACTGCAGAAGCTGGGACAAGTAAT